GGGTGTGCTACTGTATATTTCTTAAGAAGAAAAAAAAAATTTTTTTTTACCATTGACAGCCTTAACTTGTAAAAGTTAATGAGAAAACCTACTATATTGAAATAAAAAGAACTTATAAAAATTCTTTATAGGTTACCGCCTCATGCTCTTTAGTGAGTATCTTTAACAAATAAAATAACCTTCTTTTTCTACTGAACCTTAGCCTACGAAGCTAATCGAGGCTACGCTCAACTTGAACTCGGCTGAGCCGATGAGGTGTGACCAGAGGGTAAGCAGGGAGAGCAATACTCATTCAAGTGCAACCTGGACTGCTAACTCTCTCCCAGCCTAACTTTAGCACCCCTCGCGCTTTGCTACTGCGAATCTCTGCAAAGTTAAGGTGAGGAGGGGCGGGTCGCGCAGCAGCGGTAGCAGGGCGACAGTGGAGCGTTGCAGAGATATTTACGGGCCTTTACGCATAGTTAATTTAGTAATATTCGATAGTTTTAGTAGTCTAATTTTTTGTTCTTAAATCTTCTGCTGCGGTGGTTCGCCTCCTGCTTGTTGGCAGGGTTCGTAGTCCCTAGCGCTTCGCTCCCGCCGCGCTTCGCGACTGCGGAGGATGGGCGCGCATGCTGGAGCTTCGCGCTTGCGACCCTCGACTGCTTTGGTCATTAGTATTTAGCCAAAACCCTTTACTTTGCGGGAGATTAATAAAAAAATTTTTATTTTTAACCTTGTAAAACGGTGAGGCACTAGTAGAGCGCTTCCGCGTAGCCGGTACCGCATATTACGGTACGGGTTGCGGAGCGTGTGTACCCGAACTAGAATAATTTTACACTCCACCTTAAGGATTATGAAGGTTACTCGGCAGGCGTGGGGAGGGTTGTGTAGGCTGGAGATTAAGGGAAGGGTGAATACTACCATACAGTCCTCGGTCCGCTGTCTGCCTCTGCTTTAGGGCAGTAGCGCCCGGGCTACCCGATTGTCCGCCCTGCGGGGCGAAAACCTGGGTTAGGTAGAGGGTAATCTTTCACTAGAGATATTTATTAATTGGTAGTGTACAATAACAAGCCACTCACTTCTGAAAAAGCTAAACTTTTAATAGACAAATGCTGCCTACTCCGCAAGCCCTACGCAGGGTTCGTGGTTGCGGCCTACGCGCTTGCGGCTTACGCGCATGCGCGCATGCTGCGTGCCTGCTGTGCTGCGAAGCCCTTTGTGCTACTTAAGCTGTAGTCCAGCTGGAGCATTCCGAGTGCGGAGAAATAAGGGCAACCCCCTGCAGGCGAAGCACCGCTCCGCAGGTGTTTCGCGACCCTTGCTGGGCGCAGGAGAGTAGCGCGGGCGGGCAAGGGGTAACCGAAGGAGCAGGGCGCCCTGCAGGGCGCGAAGAGGTCTTCTCCTAAACAAAAGCTCCGGAGCGTAAAACCAGCCCTGCTAGCTTAAACCTCAAAAGGGGGGGGAGGGTTAGCCTCCAAGCCATGGTTAGCAAGCAGAAAAAAGACAGAGCAAGCTATCTAGTGGAATAATAGGTTGAAAAATAAATTTTTTTTATTTAGTTTGCAAAAAATTTATTTTTTATTTAGATTGCAATAAAAAAATTATGAACTCGACTGTTCTCAATTAGTATACCTCCCTACACTTTCTCTTATTGTGCTCCCTCTCTACTAATGGAAAGTGCAATATAATAGGGGAGCACGCCCGAAGGGTGCGTAGCTACTGCTACAAAAAAGAAATTATTAGCATCGACTTTTTTTACTTAAAATTATGCCCTCCCCACCCGCGCAGCGCTCCGCAGGGGCAGCAGTCCTCCGCAGGGCGCAGTGCTGCGGGCCGCAGTGCTGCGCCGCGAAGCGCGCGGCGCGCACCCCATTCGGAGCAGCGGGGCTGGTGGAGCAGCAGGTATTACGCGCATGCTGACCATAAGGCTCGGTGGTTTAGCGCTCGCCGCCCTGCCACCCCTCCCCTACGCACGCTCCGCAGGGCGCATGCGGAGCGAGGGATGCTTCGCGCCCGCCCACCCTTAAGGGCAAGGGAGGAAGCGAAGCGCGGGAGCGCGTGAGGTGGTTGCTGCTTGCAGCGCGGGGTGCTTAAGCATTTAACTTCATATGCTAATATTTACTTCTTATATATATGGCGGACTTACGTAGGTCCGTATAAAAATAAATTAGAGAACTAAGTTCTGCTCGGCGTTTTCGAAAATAAGCGTACTTGAATAAACGGGAATGCTAAAGTAGAAGTGTACTAATTGCATGCGCCGCGCTTAATAAGATGATAACAAGTCTTTTTTAATTTATTATACCGGAAGATAGAATAGGTCTTATATATTAGTTGCAACCCTCTCGCTTGTGCGCTTATTTAAAAATTTATATGTTCCAGTTTCAGGCGCTCCGTCTCTGCTAATATTAACCCTCTCTAGTGTTGCTGATTTATAATTTTAGCCTCAGGACAGTAGCTAGTTGCCTTACTGGCCTTCTCCTTACTTCAATGAGAGGAATGATTGCTTCAACCCTTGCACTCATACAGATACAGCCCCTCCCCCGCCGCGCTTCGCGACTGCGGAGGATGGGGGGCGAAGCTGGCAAGGTAAGGGCAGGGTCGGATCAGGTAATGTAGAGCTGGTTACGGCGTAGCCTCCAAGGGTCCAGATTAGGTAGAAAGGAGAGTCCCACTCTTCGATATATAACTTTGACTCCCACATATTATCGTACCGCAGCCTTCCGCCTGCTGCTAACCTATCAGGGAATGCGCTGCAGGGGGTAGGCCCTCTGTGTTGACTCAGATACCTAACCCCTCCCGTCAGCGAGCGAAGCTCTGAGGAGCTCCGCTGTCTCGAGGCCGCTAGCCCGAACTCTGAGTAGCGTAGCAGCTAAAGCACAGCAGGCCGTTGGAGCGAAGCGCGGGACCGAGTCTGATGGCTGACCCTTTGTTTGGTACCACAGCCTCTCCGCGTCTGCAGAAAAACCCTTTGTGCAATAACCGCCACAGCGCGAAACAGTACCCGCTAATAAGGGTGAGCGCTCTCTGCGGTACCTAAAGCTCCTTCACTTGCTTCCTCAGTCCCCAAGCTTCGGAGCCTGGAGCGCTGGCTGGCTCTCAGTTGACGCGGAGCGGTTGCGCCTTTCGAAAGCACTACTCGCGTACCGCGGGTGCGGTGAGTATCAGTCTCGCATCTGCACAGTTGAGGGTGTCTTTAGCAACGCGCCCTACCCTCAGCTGGCCGTCTACTACTCAGCAATCGCAAAGGGCGCCTGGTGCAAACCCTTCCCGCGCTTCGCGACTGCGGACTGCTGTATTGCAGCTAAAGTAGAAGCACCTTGCGGAGTTAAGCTACCGGCAAGGGCAGTTTTACGGAGTCAACTCCTTACCAATATAGCCAGCCAGCCACCCGGTGTAACCAAAACCAGCCTGGACTCGAAAATACCTGGAGTTCAGTACTACTTCTCGACTCCGGCTTAGAGCTACTTCGCCTGCTTTACCTTCCTTCTGTTTTAGCTAGCCAGGCTAGGCTGACCGAAACATGCAGGCGCGAAGCGTGCAAGGCTCTTATCAGACCAGCGTAGCGCCGGAGTGCAAGAGGTCCAGGTAAAAGCAGACTACTGAGGCCACCCCACCTCCCTCCGTGCACGCCGCAAGGCGGACTGCTTTAGCACTGCAGTCCTCAGCAGGGCGCAGTGCTGCGGGCCGCAGGAGCGAAGCGCGAGGCGAAGCAGAGCGTAATATGGGACCGTAAAGGTTAAGCGTCAGGCTTTGTAATCTAAAACTAATATAGTTTTTGCACTTTATTAATATTAATTACTTCTTTTGAATTAAATGACAATATAGGTCAAACATTTAGTATTTATAATATCAATTGCAGGTGCTGAATCAATAATAGGATTAAGTATAATAGTAGCATATTACAAATTGAGGAAATTTATTACTAAAGTTAATATATGAATCTTAATTTAATTATAATAAATATTGTAGCTTTACCTTTATTAGGTTCTTTGTAGCGGGTTTTTTAGGGCGAAAATTAGGAGTTAAAGGTTCCCAATTTATTACTTGTTTATCTTTACTGCTTTCTTCAATCTTAATTAGTATTGCTTTTTATAAAATAGTACTATGTGGTGGAGAATCTATAATTTAAATTTAGGTTCTTGAGTAGACTCTGGAGTTTTAAATATCAATTGAGAATTTAAATTCGATAATTTAAGTATTTCATTAGGTTTAGCAGTTTATATTGTTCTACTCTTATTCACTTTTATAGTATTTCTTACTTAGAAACTGATGCCCATAATCAAAGATTTTTTGCTTACTTATCTGCTTTCACAGGAGGTATGCTAGTTTTAGTTTTTGGAGGGAATTATTTTGTAATGTTTGTGGGTTGGGAAGCAATTGGGGTATTCTCCTATTTGTTAATTAATTTCTATTTTACAAGAATACAAGCAAACAAGCAGCTATATTGGCCTTTACTATGAATAGAACAGGGGATATGATATTAAGTATCGGTTTCTTTGCCTTATTTGGTTTATTTGGGACTCTTAATTACGAGTCTATTTTTTCATTAGCCCTAGTGCTAATCAATTAGCTATTACTATATTTCATTATTATTAATTGGGGTAGTTTAGCTAAATCCGCTCAAATCCCTTTACATAGTTGGTTGCCTGGTAGTATGGAAGCCCCTACTCCAGTTTCAGCCTTACTACATGCTGCTACTCTTGTTACAGCGGGAATTTATTACTATTAAGAAGTTCACCTATTTTAGAATATAGCCCTACAGCTTTACTAATATTAACTTTTATCGGTTCTACCACTGCTTTTGTAGCTGCTTCATCGGGGCTAGTTCAAAATGATTTAAAAAGAATTGTTGCCTTCTCTACTATTAGTCAATTAGGTTATATGATGATGGCTGTAGGGCTTAGTCAGTATAATGTGGCCTTATTTCATGTAGTAAATCATAGTTTCTTTAAAGCTCTACTATTTTTAGCTAGTGGTTCAATTATTCATGCAGTAGCTGATCAACAAGATGTTAGAAAATGGGTGGACTGATTAAATTTTTACCCGTTACTTATTCCTTATTAATGGTAGGAACTATTTCATTAATGGCTTTACCTTTTGTTTCGGGTTATTATAGTAAAGATTTAATATTAGAATTAGCTTATAGTAAATATAGCTTTAGTGGAACTTATGCTTTTGTATTAGGTTCATTAACTGCTTTTTTAACTGCTTTTTATAGTTTTAGGTTAATAAGTTTAGTTTTCTTAACTTCGCCTAATGGGGGTAAATAACATATTTAAATTCACACGAGTCTAGTTTTATAATGATATTACCTATGATTATTTTGGGTATATTAGTATTTTTTTTGGTTATATCTTTTCAGATTTATTTGTTGGAATTGGTACTGATTTTTTAGCGGGAACTGCTTCTAAAGGAAGTGATGCATTATTATACACCCTGATAATGTAACATTAGTTGAGGCTGAATTTAGTTTACCCGTAATTATTAAACTTTTACCTACTTTTTAAGTATATTGGAGCTTTATTAGCCTTATATCTATATAATAAAAAATATTATTTTATAATAAAATTAACTGAAACAATATTTATATCAAAAATATACACTTTTTTAAATAGTAAGTACTTCTTTGATGTACTATAAATAACTATATCATTAGCAAAGGATTTAAATTTGGTTACAAAATATCAGAAGAATTAGATAAAGGTGTTATAGAATTAGTAGGACCTTTTGGATTGTCTAATTTATTCACTAAGATCGCAAAAAATATTGCTAAATTAGATACAGGATTGATACCTTCATATATATTTATATTATTTCAGGGTTTATGTTTTTAATTTCATTTTCTTTTGCTCCTTTAATTTTAGATGACAATTTTACAGATTTTACTACTCTATTAATTATTTACATCCCTACTTTATATTTTTTTATTAATTTCTCCACAGTTGATACTATCAGAAGGAAGTAACTTGAAGCTGAATTAAAATTATCTCCCCGCAGGGCGCAGTGCGCCCCGAAGGGAGCGAAGCGCATAAAGCAGAACCACCGCTCCGCGCGCTCCGCTGGGCGAGCGCAGTGCGCTGCTGGCGAGCGCAGGAGCGAATCCTGCTCTCGCTTCGCGCTCGCAGGCAGTAATACGGTTAGAAACTAGGACCCTTCTTTATTAATAATTAGTTAAACTAAGGCTACTAATGATTACTACTAATGTCATTCAGCCGCGCGCGCAAGTGTGCTCGCCCAGCGCTGCAGGGCGCAGGGCGGACTGCTTTAGCAACCTTCACTCGGCTGCTGCGCACTGCGGTCCGCAGGCGCGGAGCGGAGCGCGTGAGGGGAACAGATAAAGTTCCTAGAAATATACGTCACATAAAGGACTAGCGGAGACCTTGTTACCGCGCGCAGCAGAGTTAGAGCTATACTCAAGTAACCTAAACAAAGAATCAGCAGAAATATAACTGATACCCCCTTCCTGCTTTAGCACTTTGGGGGTCGCCTGGGTCCACTCGTCCAGCAAGGGCTGCGTACCAGTCCGCGCCTCCTGAATTTAATTAACCCTCCTGCACCCTCGCCCTTCAGGTGGGGGTGCGCACCCCCTGCTACAGGAGGAGAGGCCCGCAGGCCGAGCGGAGTAGGATTGCTTTAGCATACTCCGTATTATCGTTCGCCTTGCCCCTGGTCTGTGCAGATTGTGAACCTGGATAAGCAACCGAAGTAAGCGGATCCTTATCTATCTTATATAAGAGTGATATATCCTTAAAGCAATAGAGTACGAAGGAGATCTAGATGGTAGTGAAATTATCGAATAAAATAAAGACCGAGGAGGTATTGGGCAGCGATCCACTCGGCGCAAGCGGACCGCTAATTTAGCGGTCCGCTTCCCCTCGGGTCGGGGAAGGGTAGCGCACCTACCACACCGAGCGTAAGGATCGACTGCGGATGGGAGCGTGCAGAAGGAGGCGTGGATATCGTAGATCTGATAGAGGAGAGCGGGGATAATCAGCCCACCCGTTGGAGGTAGGTGAGCAAAAAATTATGAGTCCTGCAGCCGCCCAGCCTAGCTCTTGTTCGGCACCCTCCTCTTCTACCCTCGCTCGCTCCGCACTGGGCGCGGCCTGCGGAGCGTGTGAAGCGGAGCGAGGAAGAGGGCGGCTCCTCTGCTTCGCCACAAAGGGAGCGTAGCGCGCGCTGAGCGGTTAGCGATGCTGTCCGGCGTGTGCAAGGTAAAGCTGCAGTGCAGCAGCACGAATCCGCCGAGTTGGTGTTTAGGTTAGGGACAGGGCGCAGTGCAGCGGGCCGCAGGAGCGAAGCGCGTGAAGGGTTAAGCAAAGAATGACTAGTATTGTAGATTAAACGCTCTACTTAAAAAAGGTTTAATTTATTAAAATAAAAGATATAATGCTTATTTTTCTTCAGTAGTGTGCAAAGTCAATTCTTTAGAATGAAAATTTTATTCTCTTTTTTTTAAAGTATAGTAATTTCTAAAACTAAGATTAAAAATAACTAGTTAAGGTTCTTTAAGGGTATATAAAAAAAGTATCAAATTTTTTTTTATAAATAATAAGGGAAAATAAATAGAAAATAACAACGATTAAAAAATTTTTGTCCTCTCCAGCATGCTGCGCTGCCTCTCCTTGCTTTAACGGCGCTCCGCAGGGGGCGCACTGCGTAACAGGAGCTACAATCTGCGAATTCCCAGAGTCGAAGGACTGCTTTCTCATCTAGCGTCGCTGGTGCGAACCTCCAGCACTGCTAAGGGTTCGCAGCGCTGGAGGGACAGTGGAGGTTGAACAAGGAGGGATAAATCCGCAGCCGTGGGCTCAGTCCCGTCACCAGTTACCTTCCGCCCTGCCGGGAGCAGGCTCCAGCCTGTAATACTACGATTCAGGACCCTCGAGCAGTATGGGTTCAGGGCTAGTTTACGATAGCTAGCTTTGCTAAAGGAGAGAGTAGATTGTCTAACACTTAAGTTTTTGTTAAAAAATTTTTATTCTTTAGTTACATACAATCCCACCACCAGACCAGCGCTGCCCCTTCCCGAGCAGGGCGGGACAGGGGGCTGGGCGCAGCACGCTCGCGCCAGCTTCACTGGACTGTGCTAAAGCAGAAGCGTTTGCAGGTACCAGGGCAGCTATAATCCTGGCGGGTTGCGCGGGGCGCGAACCTTTTACATCATGAGGAGGTGCTTATACCTTAACTCTCGCACTCGGGGAGGGCACGAGGGAGGCCTTTGAGCTGAGCTTCTGGTACCTTAGCTATAAGGCAGGTAACGAGTCGATTAGCTTAGGTTAACCTGCCGTTGTATTATCTTATTATAATTTAGTGAAGCTCTAAACCTGGAGCGATCTTAAGAGAAAGT